TATATATATATATATATATATATATATATATATATATATATATATATTCATATATTCAAATATTTATGATTTATTGTGGCATCATTAAAAATTAAAATAAAAACAAAACAAAAACAAAGATACAAAGATTCCCTTGTAAATGTTCTTACTGAAGGAAATCAGGGCCTCTTGGAGAAATGACTTATTTCAGGCATGATATGGGAATCTACTCAAGGTAAACTTGAGCCATTTTTAAAAAATGACATTATGTGTGCACATAGACACACCATGGCATGTGTGTGGAGGTCATAAGACAACTTGTGGAGTTGGTTCTCTCCCATCATGTACATCCTGGGGATTGATCTCAGGTCATTGGGGTTGGAGACAAAGTGCCTTTACCCATTGAGCTGTCTTGTCAGTCCAAACCAAAGACATTTAAAAATTATTTTGTGTGTGTATGTGTGTGTGTATATGTTAGGCTTGCATGGCAAGCACCTTTACCTGCCATGTCATCTCACTGGATGCAATCTGAGACACCTTATAAAAGAAAACAAGAGAGGCTGGACAGATTGCTCAGTGGGTAAGAACACTTGCTACATAAGCATGTAGGCCTGAGTTTGAATCCTCATCACACATGGGAAAATCTCTCAGTATGGCTTGAACTGAAGCATTGTCGGGGGCTGAGATGAAGTTGGTTGGGGCTTGCTGATTGCCAGGCTAGCTCCAGGTTTAGTAAGAAACCTGTCTCAAGGGAATAAGGCAGAGATGATAGCGCAGGATACCTGGCGTCTTTCTCTGATCCCTGCTTATGTGCAGAACCTCCACACATGTGAAATACACTAACAGAACATAAAACACACAGAAAACTATCAAAGATCTTGGACATTTGCAAGGAAGACAGCTGTCACCATTGGATATGAATATGGGATCATTAGGAAAAATAACAACTCTGTAGACTTTTCCTGCCAGTCTCTCCTCTACCTCTATCCCTTGTGCCTGTGCTTCCCAAAGCCCTTACATCTGTGAACCTCAGGGCAGAGAAGGGACATTGAGAAAAGGGTTGGACTGATATGAAGAATGGTTCCTTACAGAGTACAACAGTGTCCTGCCTGAGAAAGATTTTAAGGATTGGCAGATCTGTAAGAGAAAGGCATACTCAATGAGTATGACAGTGTCTTAATGGCCTGATGGAATCTGAAGATTGGCTCCACAGTAAATGTATTGTGGGAAAGGGGGCTCAAGTGTGGGAAAGGTAAGAAGACTTGCTCTAAATATTTATTTGACTGAAATAAGAGTTCAGGATGGGTTACAGTGTCACAATGGGCTGAGTTCCATCACCACTGACTGTCTAGAGCAGTGGTTCACAGGTTGTGGGTTGAGTCACCTTTGTGGGGGTGTTGAATGACCCTTTCACAGGGGTCAAATATCAGATATTGTGCATATCAGGTATCTCACTATAATTCATGACTAGCAAAATTACAGTTAAGTAGCAACAAAAATAATTTTATGCTTGGGGGTCACCATAATATGAGGAACTGTATTAAGGTGTCACAGCATTAGGAAATTTGAGAACCACTGCTCTAGAGGATTGCCACTGTGGTGGCCATTGTAGCTGTAACATAGGCAGAGTCATAGAGATTGTATCACAATTGAAGATACAAATGAGGGGCTCTGAGCTGTGGAAGATCAGGTTTTGTAACATTCTAAGAGAATGGTTTTACTAGAGAATTGACATGTTCCAGGGTTAGGACAGAGAAAGCACAAGATGAGCCAAACCATCTTGACTCAGAAATATGCAGATGCTCTCAAAGAATAACTGAGACACATTTAGCAACACTAGGGAAAAAACTCAAAATGACTGCCAGCAGAAACCAAAGTAGGCACATAATTGCTAATATTGTTATTGAGCCAAAATTTCCCTCAGTGTTATCTTGCAGGGAAGAATTCAGCTCAGAAACAGCTTAAGCAAGAATTTAGTATGTTTAGTATGTTTAGAAAATGATAGAGCACTACTGAGGGTTTAGCAGGGTGAGATCTTGGATTTGTCATTAAAATGCTTGTGAATTATTTTGAATTATGTGTATGTGTGTGTGTCTTGTATGGGGTATGCAAAGGGCCATGGGACTGTACAGCAGTGACAACTAGTGTTTAACAAGTTGACCCACTTGGGGAGTCCCACTTGTCAAAGCCATGGGGCTATTGACTGGACGACTGGCTGTTTCTGTGTGTAGCTTTCTCAGGCAACACTCCTATACCTCCCTAATAAGAACAGCTGTGGAGTTCTTTCCATAGCCCCTTGATGGTGTACTTTATACTTGTTGGGCACACATATAGCTGTGGAAGGTCAGGAAGATGATTTCTGCCTATATTTATTACATTACTCAGAATGACATAGGATTCTGTCACAAAGACAGCCTTTCACACAGACAGCTAACTTTAGACTTCACAGAAGATTCAAAGGAGGCTGGTTGCCCCTGAAGACAAATATCGGGTTGCCCCTAGAGTCAAAACACATGTGTTTTACTGATTCAAGGCCAGAACTTGAAGCAACTTTAGTCTACATGTACACCCTACCACTCAAGGTCCAGCTAATTAATTGTTAAGTTTTGATTTCCAATGTTGCTTTGTGTCTGGGAACCCTCACCAACTTAGAGCTACAATGTGACATTACTAACCTAAGAGAAACTGCATGACTTATATTGGTTTTTGAGAATGGGTTGGGCCCTGAAAATGTAACTTATACTTGTCCAGAGTTTGGCTGTGTGAGAGGCAGAGAACAGAGGCAGCAGACAGCAGCAGTGATGCAGAGAGAGAAAGATAGCAGCAGCAGCACGGAAGACAGTGAGGAGAGAACAAGAGAAATAGAGCATTGGAAGGAGATATAGAGCTAAGTACGAAGCTGTATAGAGAAGCAAGAGAGATTCTTTTCAGAGACGATTTTTTTCAAGATGAAGAGATTGTTACCATCAGAAGGCATGTTTCCTTATTTTTCCCCCTTTAAATAGGAAAGTCTAGCCCCCACTGCCTATATGGATTTTCTTATTTACTCTGGTGCCACCAAATAAGTAAGCTTCAGGGGTATGTGCACATGAGTACAGGTTCCTGCAACTCTAGAGGATCAGATTCCTTGGGCCCAGAGTTCTAGAGAATTGTGTGCTTGCCTGGAATGAATGCTGGAAAACAAACTCGGGTTCTCTGAAAGATCAAATGCACTTAACCATTGAACCATCTCTCTAGCCCCATAGGATTTGTTATTTTTGTTTTTATTATTTCTAAATTTCTTTGTTTTTTTGAGACAGTGTTTCTCTGTGTAGCCTTGGCTGTACTGGAACTCACTCTGTAGACCAGGCTGGCTTGAACTCAGAGAGATCCACCTGCCTCTGCCTCCCAAGTGCTGGGATTGAAGGCATGCACCACCAATGCTTGGCAATTATTTCTTTTTAATTAATTATTTAAATTAAAAACTTATTTTGCAAAGCAATCCCAGTTCCATCTCCCCCCTACCTCCCATTCCCCACACCAACGCCCTCATCCCACCCCCATGCATTCCTCAGGGAGGGTGAGACCTCCCATGAGGGATCATCAAAGTCTCACATCATTTGGGGCAGGACCTAGACCATCCTCCGTGTGTCTAGGCTGAGAGAGTATCTCTCCATAGGGAATGGGCTCCCAAAGTCCATTTGC